TTTGTGTGAAAAATTTCCACTGTGATAAATATTTAGCAAGTTGTGCTTATATGAATGAGGAATTGCGATATGTCATTGTATAAAGTGTCAATTTGTTCGGTTTTAATCAAAATGGGTCATCATGCTATTGGTTTTGTTCTGAAGAGGTTTCCTTCCAGTGTCCTTTCACTAGCCATTTCCTTTTCTAGATGATGTAATTTGATCATTTGGTTTTATTCACTGTAATGAAGTTCTCTTTCTATTGAAGTTTCACTGTAATTCCTTTAGATAGAAATTATTCATATGTTATGTTAGGGTGCATCTCATCCTTTGGCCTTTAAAAATCCTGTTGTACTTATTTATGTCATGGGTCCCCATCAGAAGATATTTATGTCCTGCTGTCAGGTCCAGGCACCTTAGAGCTGGAAAAGGCTTATGACAAGCTGCGAGAGCAGGCGGAGCGATCTCTACGAAATAATGCCTACAGTGTTGTGAATTTGGGCAGCCTGTTCCAACCTCTCCTATGGGACAGTAAAGCTGAAAACTGCAGTGGGAAGAGCTGAGGAACTTCTGTAAGTTTGTGGCAAATATAATTGTATGTTATGTAAGTTATGTCTGTTTAGGCAGTACATATGAATTCCTATATTCATAAATTTTAGTGAATGGCTGTCACACTAGATTCAACTGCATTTTTTTTCTTTGAAAAGTACACAGTCTAAAATAAGTTCAAAATGGAAATCAGCATGGCTTCATTGCAAATATTTGATCTTGAGAAACCAGGTAAGTATGATTTCAACTTTGGGCCCATGAAGAGATTTAAAACATTGTTTAGAATTTGAGATTTTTTAAATCTGGTGTTGTATACCTCTCCTTGCTGTTGTTGTGTCATAGAATATTTTAATGGAACAAATCCACACTGAATATGCAATAAGAAAAATTTCAGTGGTGATAAATACTGAGTTAACCATGTACATTCTTTTAAGATTTCGCACAGTGCAACATATTCACACACAGAGCTTTGACAAATGTGTTGTGTTAATAGCAAGTCAAAAGTAGATATTTCCTAGTTTCATGGGAAAGTGTTGTAAGGAAATAGGTGAAAGGGTTATCAAGTTTTGTTCCAGCCTTTGGGTTCCTTTCTTTCTGCATTGCATGAAGAAACTTCATATTGTGCTGATGACAAATTAATTGTCTTCATGAACATGGCAATGGAAATTTTTTGCTTAAGGATTGGAGCCTTAAACATTGCATAGGATGTCACTGTGTTACATTTTCATCTAATTAAATGAACATATGAAAATAAGAACAAATCTTTGCATTTATTAAAATGTGCATTACAGAATTGTGTATCACAGTCATTGTTTTTCAGATTGACATTATGAGTAAAGAAGAATCAATTCATGTTCGTATTGCTTAACATTTATAGCTCTTAAATTCTTCATAGATTATTTTGTGTGGCAAAGCAATGTTCTCATGTGCTGAACTTCTCCATGTAAATAATGGAGGAATGAATTATTTATTTCTAATGGCCAGTATAATGCACATGCTCATTATGTTGTTTATACAGAGATATCAGGTTTTGCATGTATCTTGATATACAGTGCTGCAGCAAAAATGTGTCAGATGCTGTCAAACTTGTCATCATTTAATGTACCTTTTTCATATGTATGAGAGGACAGAAATTTATGTAGTTACTGAAGAACTGCCTTTTCTCATTTCCTTCCTGGATATTTATTAGAATTGTAAATGATAATGCAATATCAGCATAATGAATGACAGTCTCTGTAACCATATGATATGTAAGTGCAATTCATTCTGATATTTGTCCCTACAAAGTTATTTTCATGAACACTGTCATTGCCAGTGAGGTCTCCCAGAATCCAGTCTGTGTGATGTAATTCAGACATGAAATATGACATAGCCCCATGCAATAATTTTCAACACTTTCTACATTTTTTAAGGAACAACGTGGTAAATTCTGCATAGCCTGTAGCACTGTGCCTGGTAGTGAGAGGGTGAAGAAAACTGCCCTAAATGGAACTGTTGCTGCATTTATTCCACTTTAGAAGTGTCAGTACAATTTTTATGCACCTGTAGGTCAGTGTCAGTTGTAGTATAAAATTTGGCACTTTACAAACTTCTGTTCCACTAGATTATTAATTTTTACAGTACTTGAAATGGCATGCAGTTTTAATCAGTGCATATCATGACTCATACTTGTGGAGCAATCTGTGTTCAGATATCTTCCCTTTTTCAGTATGTTTCAGCCCCAACTGTAGCCATATGTTTATTACTTGCAGTAAAGTTAAAGCATGTCCATAATGCTGAAATTCCTGATACTGAGTTTAAACAAAACTATGAAGAAGGGAATAAAGTCTTATGTTTGCAGTAACAGTCATCTTTTTCTTAATCCTGTTTTCATATGACATGGATCATCAATTTCATATGATTCTCTCATTATGTTTCTGTTAAAATCACACGTTTACACAAAATAACACTGTTTCTAAACAGGGTACACTGGCAACATTTACCTGCGAGTGCTGTAGATAATATGAAAAAATTCATAATTAGGTTAATGTTCCTGGCAAAACAAGTTATTTGTGTCATAGATTTTGGCTTCATTTTTTTTTATTTGTTTTGTTAAAGTTATCAGTTGGTAATTGACTTGTGTATGTTACAACACTTTTGTTGTGCAAACACCCATATTTGTTCTGACAATACATTGTGTACGCAGTGAAAATGGACAGATGTCACATTAATGGCATTTTCCAAATGAGGGCTTGTTCTTCATATTATTTACACTCCTATGTGTAATTATCAAAGTCTTCCAGATCCCAATCAGAAAGAGGAAGTTTGCTAGATGTTTGTTGTGTTGCTGTGATAGGCTTGTTGGAGCGAGGTTTAGGGACTGGTGCTGATGTGGTGTTGCTGAGATTTGTATTGTTCTCATGGTTAGTGTCAGACATAAAGCTGTCAAGACTTGGGGAACTTAAATCTGTGCCTTGATACTGTGAACTCTTCTCACTTCCAGTGGAACGAAACATGGCCTCCACACTTCCTGTTGGTGGTTTGGACCTACTCATTCTCAACTGAAACAGAAAGCTTGTTGCTGGAATTGAAAATTGTTTTGCATGAGTTCCTGCAATCTTTGTACTTAAAACTATGCCATACAGTCTCATCTGTGTGCATATAGTTGGGCGAATTAGAAAGTTACTTTCATGAATGTATTTTTGATGTTACAGTTGTGTGCAACACGTCTGTAAAAGTTTCTTTCTGTGGGGTCTCGTGACAAATTTATAGTTCGTTATCTAGTCAAGAAATTCTCATTTATGGAGGCCAAAAGTTAACTACTGTGTTTACAAAAGTGTGCTACTGAACCATGTCTTCAGCCGCATATATCCAGTTCATACCCCAGTTTTGTAAAGTTTATTTTAATAATATTCTACCTACAAATAGGTCTTCCAAATTTTCTTTTCCTGTGAGGATTTCTGTCCAAAAC